AGTTCCTTTCAAGATGCTTGGACAAGGTGCCTGTGCCGCAAGGCTAAAATCCATCCTGCCAACTAGAAAGGAGAAAAACAGAAAAAAAAAGAAAAAAGAAGAAAAAAGAAATTGGAGACTGATCTAACGGGGCCTCAGCTGCATGGGCTCGCTCTTTCCACTCGCCATCTATTGACTAGATAGCCTAGACTTCTAGCTTCGAAGGATGAGCGATTGAACGCAAGACCGGCCGTCGTCTCGCAGGTAGATAGACAGTCACTCTGCCTGCGTCGTCTCGAGTCTCGATCTTCACCCTTTCCCCCGCGTTGCGCGGATTCATTATTCCCATCCTTATCCTCCAATCCATTCGATTTCCTTCGCTGTTGTTGCACCAGTTAATTCGGCGTCTATGTCTCCTCGCATTCGCATGATAATTTTTTATCCTTAATATCCACGTATATAATTGAAAGTGCAGCACCATCCCCTCGAAGGTTCAATCTTCTGTGGAGCTGTTCCAACCTGAGGTACGTGCATATTTACGCAAGACTAGGGAGGCTGGATTGTTCAGCCTTCAGAACTGAAGACGACCGGTCTGGATTCGAGCTGACTGGGCGGTCACTGTAGATTCATTGGGCGACAATTCTCGAAATTACTGCTGCTGGCCAGCGTCATCGTTCTCCCCGGCAGTGGTCGACTCGCTGCCGTTGGCCTTCATCTCGTGTCGCAGTTTTGAATCAGATCGACGGATGCCGTATGAATTGCTTTGATTCGGATCTGTGGGAACGGGCCCGACTGCTCTGCGCTGGTCAACTTCCGATCCCCTTTGTGTTAATGGTTGCAAGCTACGACTCGTCTATTCCCTCTGAAAGATAGGATCCATGGCCACAGACGTCCAATATCAAAGCCCTTCAGCGGCTCAGGCGTTCCCCACGCCGTCGACAACGCCGCATCGGGTGCCCTCCATACATGTCCGCAGCGACTCATCGCCGATCCGCTCCGCATCACCTCTTGCCCCTCACAACTCTTCCCCCGAAGGGCCGAGTGACCTGGACGATGTGGGGGATGAAGATACTCTGTCACCGTTCGACCCGCGAAGATTCACACCCACCCTACATGCCTCCTTAGTGTCGGAGATTCTCTCTCTGCGGCGGGAGGTGGAGAACAAATCGAAGGCGATCGACGTACTGGAGAGAAGCTTGGACGAGTCCCGGACTGAGAACGAGGGTCTAACTGACCGTCTGTCACGAAGCACAAAAGAGACCCGGTCTCTGAAGCATCAATTGCAGCTCCTGGAGGGTGGTACCTCCTCCGCCTTGACCGAGCTGGCAAAAGAGCGAGACGAAGCTCTAGAGAACATCTCGGATGTACGAAGGAAGCTGGAACAGGCGCAAAAGAAGGCCCGCAGCCGAGAAGAGGAGCTCGAGCGAACCCAAGGTCTCTTAGACCGCGAAAGAGAGTCCTGGGAAGGAGAGCGTAGAAATCTCGAGCGCAAAGTCCATGTGGTGGAGGGCCGGCTGAAAGTCGTCTTGAATGAGGTTGCCGCGGCGCAAGCAGCAGCTTCCGTGCCCCCTGTGTCGCCAAAGCCGGATACCCCAGAACCTGTCAGACCATCCACCACCGAGAGGTGGAGCGATTCGGCCAGTGTGCATTCCAGCAGCCAAGGACGACGTCGGACGAGCGTCACCAGTGTGAGCTCCGAGGATGACGCTGACTTTCATAATGTGCGCTATTCCACTGCCAGCCTTGCGAATGCCCGAGACAGCAAGCCCAACGGAGTGAGTCTGGCGCAAGAACTGGCATTCGACGAGGAGGAAGAGTTCGACAATGAGCATGACGACTCAATTCTGGATTCGCCCGAGGCGCTACTAGAGGAACGGCCGACTTCGGTCCACTCCTATGCGTCCCTGTCGATGAGCCTGAAGGCTCGAAAGATTCTTGGTCTCTCCATTGACAGCAGCATAGACGGTCATGCAGTGATTGACAGAGGCCTAAACAGTCCTGCCAAGGTTTCCTCCCCCACATTCGAATACCGAGACACTGGTATCCAGTACTCCCCGCCGCCGTCTCCTCAATTGCGTCCTGATAGTCCACTTGAGCATAATTCGCAGGCATTGCCACTCTCTTACCACGCGAAGGACAGCGGTACTTCGACCTTGACTATCGACATGAAATCGACATCTTGTCAGACGGTCGGCGACCTGCCCAGCCCTCCGTGGACACCCCAGGTTGCCGAAACACCAATGACTGCAGGCCCACAACCGGCTGCAACAGCCTCAATATCGACGCAGACCGATCTCGTTCCAGCCCCTGCGGCAGACAAACAGGATGCGGTTGCAAGTCTTACAAAATCAGTTCCTACGGCGATTGAAGTTCCCATGATCACCATTCATCCACCGTGTTCCGAGCCTTCTTCGCCTCGGGGAAGCGTGGTTCTGCCACCTCAGACGAAAACCGTCTCCTGTCAAACAACCTTCAAGACTGTCGTCGACAGTCGATCGGTTGCCATCCAGACCGAAGAGATTTGTATTGACAAGCGGCCAGTCAAGTTGCCAGCTAGCTTGCTTCCCTCTGCCATCCCTGACGTGCCGCTTAATGTGTCGCGTGCTCAGAGCAGTTCAAATTCGCCCATCCAGCCATATCGACCCCCGTCACGAAGGCTGGAGCGCGGAGAAACCAAACCGCCTCCACTGCCTGCCAAGGCTCCGTCGAGAAGCAAACCGCCCGCCACGGTGCAGGCCTATCCTGGGAACAACGACAACGGGCCGTTATCGGAGGGTTCCAAATCTGAATTGAGGCGGCCCTTCAGATCAAGCAGTCTTTTTGCTGGCTTCGAGGATGAAAATGACGAGTCGCGGGAGGCAACGCGAGATATCTTCACAGATGACGAGCTGCTTAATCGGCCGTTTGCTTCATACAAACTGAAAAGGGGAAAGCTGATCTCGGCGCAGGAAAGGTCGAGTCTGGACGATACCATACTAGCAGAAGTTGATGAGCACCTCCTTGATGCTGATTCACAAGTCCACGAGGATCTGGAGCCGTCTGAATCGTCGCCGCATGGGCAGAGGCGAGGTGTGACAGGTTCAGGGAACGAGCGGGATGGCCGGACGGCCACAAGGGTCCCTAACGCCGCAGCAGGGCATCGGCGAAGAGCACGCAGCCCAAGCGAGCCGAGTATCGACAGTGGCAGCGGGGCATCGAGCGTTGCTCCTCCGTTCCCTGTTCCAATTCGCCTCAGTTCAAGAAATTTCCCCGGCAACGGGAGTGATGGACAGCAGAGCCCAACTCCCTCCAACCCACGCAACTTCTCTGATCGCGGACGAGCGCCCATTGTACGGAGACCGACACTGCGTCGAGTACGTTCAGCAGCGGCCATGTCTCAATCGGAGCATCCAGAGCGGCCTCCGAGCCAGTCGTCTCCGTCCTCCTATGGGCTGGAAAGTCCTCAGTATCCGCCGCTGCCATTTGATGACATTACGGCGCCTCGGGACAGGGTGGTTGTCGAAGGCCGGTCGATGCAGCGTCCCTCTGTCACTCGACCGTTTGCCCATGAACGGCAAGACTCGAATGCAACGACCTCAGTGCAGCCAACCAGCGTGGTCGATGCCATCGCGCAGACAATGATCGGAGAATGGATGTACAAGTACGTTCGGCGGAGGAGATCTTTCGGCGGCGTCGGTGAGCCCAAGGACAGTTGGGAGGGCAAAAACGCCGACGAGGTGTCGGCCAATATTAACAACAGCGGAGTGCGACACAGGCGATGGGTCTGGCTCGCGCCATACGAGCGAGCGGTCATGTGGAGCAGCAGGCAGCCCACTAGTGGTCCTGCGCTGCTAGGTAAAAGTGGCCGCAAGCGTAAGTTTTCATCTTTTCCAGAAAGAGTGATGAGTTCGCGCTGATAAGACTAACTGGCATAAGTGATCATCCAATCCGTTCTCGACGTCAAGGACGATAACCCCCTCCCCAAGGGAGCGACCATTGCAAACCCGTTCAACCGATCCATCCTGATCTTGACCCCCAAGCGCGCCCTGAAATTTACCGCCACCAGCATCGAACGGCATTACGTCTGGTTGACTGCACTTTCATTCCTGAGCCATTCGGCAACGGGCATTCAAGACCTCGCCGCTCTGCCTCCCGTCCCGCAGGCCGAGTTCGAGTCGCCGGCGCCCACCGCGAGTCTCCGCCGGAACCCAATTCGTGACTCGATCCGCATCGCCAAAGGGCGCCCGCGACCCAACATCAAGGGTAAACGCAACAAAGCGCCCGCCCCGGTGCCCGAGCTACCCGCCAATGGTTCGGAGATAGTTGACTCGATGCTCGACGCGGCCGACCCTCCGACCGTGCCTCGGTTCTCCTCCCACGCCCGCAAGCGCAGCAACACCACGTCCCGGATGCCGGTGATGCGCAGCTTTTCCAGTCAGGGGACCATGCCGTCGATCCCGTCCATACATAGCATGGCCACGCGCGGGGGCTCCCCAACCTCGCACGGGCACGGCCTCAACAGCGGCCGCAGCAGCCTCAGCCGACGCACGTCGGAGGCGAGCGGGCCGGCCAGCATCGGGACTGGTAACTTCTTCGACGCCATTGGCACCGTTCGCATGGAGGCGTTCATCGACCAGACGGCGTCTGTTCGATATCGCCCGGGGACGCGGTCGCGGCACGCACGCAAGCCGTCGAGCCAGTGGGGGTCAAACAGCCAGCGGTTCTACGGGGAATTCGCCATGCCTGCGGACAGCGAGCCGGATCCGTTTAGAGGATTCTAACTGGGTGAATTGATTTTTTTGTTGTATATATCGTTATTACTGTATGTTGCAAGAGATACCACTTGACGCTTCGCTTGTATTTCCGCATTGGGTCTTCTTGAAAAGTCAGTCAATATGCATATACATATATCTCTATCGCGGGACACAACCATCAAGGTCATCCGCCTGATACGCTTCCTCTTCCATCAGGATATACTCTGTAGACCAATCCCAATCCCAGTCCAATCCAGTTCCAATTCCAATACCATATCATTATATAAATCACAGCTTAGCAGCCTCTTTCACCTCCCCAATCTTCAACTTGGGCGAATACTTTTTCAACACGCCCTCGTTGTGGTACTACAACCATTAACATCAGCTCAGCCCTCTTTTCATGTGTGCGTTGGTAAGGTAGCACGCACCTTCCAAAACTGCTTCGAGGCATCCTTGCCCGCCACACGCTTGAGAATCTTGGCGCCGCCGGGGTGCTCGTCGATGAACTTGGTCACGTCGTAGACGCTGTTGTCGATGATGATGTAGAGGCCCTTGTCGGGAGTATTGTGGGTTGCGACCTCGGCGGGGGTGAAGGATTGGGTCATTTCGTTCTCGGCGTTCTTTGGGTTCTTTCTCTCTTGATATCGTGGTGATTTCTAAAGGAGAAGTTGAGGTTGGTGATGTCGATATGGAGGTCTCGTGGTTGACTGATGGAGTTGGAGTACAATGGGGAGATGACAGTGGAGTACTCCGTAGCTGTCTATGAAGCTGGGGTCTTAGTCTACGACAGCCGAGGTAAACCGTAAATCTCGCGTCCGAACCGCGGCCGTGGGAAATTCTAATGCGTGGGCGGTGATTGGTGACTCCATTTCCACTCAGCACTTACCTAGCTTACTTTTAGTACGGCGTACTTCGTTGAGGGAGTGGATATGAATATTATCCAGTTTTAGAGGTATTGATTGGTATTGTTGCGAGAAATGCTACAAGTATATACAAGATACAGATAGATGCTGATGCTGATGCTGAGCTGATTAATCCTTGCTCTTCTCGCCGGCTGCACCCTGTCCCTTGGGGACTTTGCGGTCCAGTCCCAGCGTCTCCAGGTCCTTCTTCTTGTAGTAATGCGGCGCAACCTCGACCAGCCACTCTGGCTGCAGAGGCATGTTGCTGCGCATGTACTCCTTGCTCGTCAGGACGAGTTCGTAGTAGATCACCCAGCGGGGGTTGACCTCGAACAGGGTACTCGATGGGTGGAGATAGACCGTCTGGCCGTTCTTGACCGTCCGGTAGCTGTCGCCGCCGCGCTGCAGTCGTGCCGCGTTCGGGAAGAAGCCGGCTGTAATCGCCTTCTGGATGGGAACGTAGTTGTTCGATCCGCATGTGCTGATGGTGACCTCGACGCGGTCGCAAAGCTTCGCCAGCTGATCGCGCACGTCGCGCGCGCGTGTCAAGCTCCGCTGCTGGAGGAAGTTCTCGCGCGCCCAGATATAGCTGAAGTCCGAATCCACCCATTGGTTCCAGATGTTGAGCAACGTCAGGTGGTCGCCGCCGTCTTTGACGGTGAACCTGTTGCGCGCGCTGTCCGCGTGGATCTTCTTGTCCTTGGGACGGAAGAAAAGAGCGCTGGCCTCGCCTAGCATCGACACAATCGACAGGACCTCCTCCACGCAGCCGTACTTGTCCGCTGCGAGGATCGCCTTGGCTAGCATCGGGTCCGTAGGGAACTCGGCCATCTGCCGTCCGATTTTGGTCAGCTCCCCGCGATCGTTCAGCGCCCCCAGGGCATACAGCTGCTCCAGTGCGCGGATGATCGTCTCGGCCGGCGGGGGGTCCATAAAGTCAAAGTCGAGCAGCTGATCGATTCCCAAGGATTTGAGCATCAGAATGACACTGCTCAAGTTCGTCCGTTGGATCTCCGGCGTAGTGCTCTCTTCCAACTCGTTGTAGTAAGCCCATCGCGTGTACAGGCGGAAACACTTTCCCGGCCCAACTCGACCGGCTCGACCAGCTCGCTGGTTCGCCGACGCTCGCGAGCAAGGTGTCACCACCAGGCTTTCCATGCCTGTGCGCGGATTGAAAACATTCTCCTTGGCGAATCCCGGGTCGATGACGTAGACAATGCCGTCGATCGTCAAACTGGTTTCGGCAATGTTCGTGGCCAGCACGACTTTCCGTGCTTTAGGTGGGGTGGGCTCGAAGATCTTGGTCTGGAGCTCAGACGGTAGGTTGGCGTAGATGGGACAGATGATCATCTCGGGGATCTTGCTCCCCAGTTTGCGGGCCGTCTCTTGTAAACTCTGTTCAGCCGCTTCAATCTCTTCCTGACCGGTCAAGAACACCAGGATATCCCCTGGCCCCTGGCTGACATGGATCTGGAAAACGGTCGTGATGGCGGCAGCCAAGTAATTCGCCTCGGGCTGCGAGGTGTAATGAATGTCCACGGGATACCGACGACCAGGAATGTTGAAGATGGGTGCATCGTCAAAGTATTTCTGGAATTTTTGTGCGTCCATGGTGGCAGAAGAGATCAGGAGCTTCAGATCCGGCCGCGCCTTGGCTATATCTTTGAGCAGACCGCAGGCAATATCTGTAGGCACAGTTCGTTCGTGGGCCTCGTCGATCATCAGGGCGGAGTATTGGCCCAGGTCTGGCTCGGTTAGCAGCTCACGCAGCAGCATACCGTCGGTCATGTACTTGAGTACCGTCTTGTCGCTGGTGTTGTCCTCAAAACGGATAGCATAGCCCACTTCGTTGCCCAGCTTCACTCCCATTTCTTCAGCCACACGAGCCGCAACACTCATGGCGGCCACCCGTCGCGGTTGCGTACATCCCACCTTCATACCGTTTTTGGTGAACCCGGCCTCGTGGAGGTACTGCGGGATCTGCGTGGTCTTGCCGGAACCGGTCTCTCCTACAATGATCAGAACTTGGTGATCATGCACCGCCTGGATGATCTGATCCCGGAACTGGTAGATGGGTAAGCTCTTCCGTGTCTCCTCGATCGACGCCGCTTTCTTCTCCGCCGCGTCCAGCTTCTCCTGAAGCAGCCGCTGCTCCTGCGTCAATGGTTTGCGAGTCCCCTCGAGCTTGGTGTCCATGACGAAATTGATCTTCTGCGAGTCGTCAAAGACATACTCGTAGTCGCCCTCGTCCACGAATTCTGCCCGTTTGATCTGCGCCTTTGCCTTGGCCGTCTGCTCCATCTCCCATTCCTCGTGCTCGGTGATGAACCGCTCCTGACCGCGCTCGTCACGGTCCACATATCGCTTATACAGCGCCTCTTCTTTCTTCTTCCGATCGATCTTGCCTTTCTCCGTGATGTAGTCCTCCGGCATCATATACCCGTCACGGTGGTCGTCGATCCGTAAGCGCTCCTCCGCGAGCCGCAGCACCTCCCGGTTGCGCGCAAACTCTTCCTTCTCCCGACGGGTCAGATTGGGATTCTCGCGTAGCTCGGCCGTCTCCTCTGCGACCTGTTGTCGCAGCAGCGCCAGCCGCTCCGCCTCTCGCTTCTTGAGATACTCCTGCCGTGACCGCAGCCGCAGATCCGGCATGACAGCCGCCCGCGCCGTCGCATCGTCCGCCAGAGCCCGCCGTCGCGCAGCCTCACTCGTTCTCGTCCGGTCCTCGACGATCTTCTTGCTCTTGCCATCATCCTTCTTAGCCAGACGCTTGGCCAACTCGTCCCGCTCCTCCAGATCCCGCTTGCGCTCCAACTCCTTCTTCGTTTCTGGATCTAATTCGTCGGAGGCCGTGGACCGAGGCGAGGCCGACCCATCCTCCAGCCGCGTGCGCTTCGGTGGCGATTCATCAAAGTCCTGCCCCTCTTCACCCCCATCCTCATAGTCGTCATCCGGGATCTCCTCGTCACCCCACCGTTCCTCAAAATCATCCACAGCCCGTCTCCGCAGCTTCTTCGAGCGCTGCCGCTCGCGACTGCCCTCATCGCGGCTACGGCTGCGGTCACGTTTCCGGCGACTATCCTCCTTCTCCGATCGACCGCGACTCCGGTCCTTGTCCTTCTCTCGGCGTCTTTGTTTATCGCGCTCCGCCTCGACGTTCTGCGGCCCCAACGAGCTCGCCGCGTCCGTCAGATCGGGCTCCATATCAACTAATCGGTATTTCTTCTTCGACGCGCCATCGCTGCGGTCTCGGCCCGCCGCGCCACCGGATCCGGACGCATCCTTCTTGCCTGCGCGTCGGTAGAGCTCCGCACAGAACGAGCTTACTTCGTCGGCATTTCCGTCGAGGAAGGGGAGGAGTTTGTCCTGTAACGAGGTCGCGGATTTGGCGGTACTGGCGGTGGCGAGGACGAAGTCGACGACGGTGGGATCCGACGCGCCTGTCAGACGGATCAGGGAGTCAGAGACAAAGGTTTTGTGATCCATTACTATGTCGGTTATCGGTGTAGATGCTAGGGTGAATGCGTTCAATGTGTTGCAACCTTTTTGAGCCCTTTGCTCTAGTAGATGCTATCGCGCATGATTGGACTGTTCAGGAGTCCAGTTAAAATGAACAAAGTAGTCTGTTGTAGAATTGTAAAGGTAACGAAGGAAGCAATGAGGTTGCAACAAAACTTGCGTGACCGAGTAACCAACGGCCTGGGAATGGATAGATAGCTGTCGGAGCGGCGGTCGCGAAAATCCACGCCGAAGGTCAAGCTGTGGTGCCAAGAAGTTGGGCAGTGGCGAGAACAAGCTGATACTCGTCCATGGTATGGTAGTCTACACTATCTACCCACGGTTTGATCTGAGAAGCTCAAAGAATGCATAAATCTAGACGAAGATATTTAATATGTTCTCATTCTATCTACCACCAATTGTTGCGTCCAGACTCAACACGTATAAATCACAAGTATTACCCAGTTCTCAAGCCCGCTTGATCCCATATCGGCTGGCCAGTCCGTGCTTCCCAAGGACTGCAGTTGGAAAATAAAAACAGAAAAAAATAATGACAATGGGTGAAAAGAAGATCCAGCCGAATGGAGATGGGGTCACAAATTTGTAGGAAAGGTTCATTCATCATCATCACCGCCCAAGGATCCATTACACTCCGATTCACTCCAACAAAGGAAAAGAAAGGAAGAGATAAAAGTTCAAATCACAGTACCGATCGCCCCCTGCTCCCTTGAATGGTATCCTTGCTCAATATCCCACTGGCAATGCGAGAGTGGGGGAAAACAAAAAAAAAAAAGATGAGATCAATGGCTTCAGATGTTGCGAGAAGAAAAGGAAAAAGAACAGGTTCATCATACACAGCAGGGAATCCAATCATGCAGGACATCGGTACATTTCGAAGAAAAAAACAGGCGGAATCAGACGCTAAATCAGACTCTGACAAAGGAAAAGATTCTTTAAACGAGCGAAAGGTGACTCATACGGAGTCTAGGTCGAATCTCGAAACCGTTTTCGACCATATAATCTGAGGATCGATGAATCGATATGCACAGGGGAGGAATCCTTCTTGATTCAAAAGAGGAAGACAGAGCCGGGCTCGATCATAGATAGGCAACCGGCGTACAGGAACTCAACGAACCCCTGGTGCTGTTTGAACATCGATATGGTAGGAAGTGTAGCGCAGAATTGAGAATGCACCGACTCCGTTCAAATAAGGCGCGGATATATCGAGGATTCCCGCTCACACGTCGATCATTTCGGCATCTTCAGCCAGGATCTCGTCCGCAGGGCCCCAGTTGCCTTCGTAGACTGTGGCCCCAGCACGACGACGACGTTCTACGAACTGGACCCCATGGGTTTCGAGAACCTGATCCGCTGTGGGTCGGTCAGAAGGATCGGGGGAAATCATCCACCGGACAATCTTGTCCAAGGCTTGCTCGTGGCTCGCATCGATCATGAAGCTTGGAGGATTGACCAGCTCCCCACTGCGCGCCAGAGGCACTGCCTGACGAGGGCGGCTGTTCAGAAAACTATCTTCCCCAAAATCGTCATCGCCCAAGTCCGAGGCGCAGAGTTCCTCGAATGACGGCTCTTCCGAGATGGGATTTCCGGAAGCGTCGCGGAAGATGCTGGTCTCGGAGCTCCAGGTCAAGCTAGGCACGTCGCTCATATCGCCGTTCCGAAGCTTCTGCCATGAGAGACCATTATCGGGAAGTTCCACATTGCCCGCAATCTCGAACATTATCAGGCCCAGCGAGAATATGTCGGCGGGTTTATCGAAGCGGCCCATCAGAATCTCAGGACCGATGTACTCGCGATCTCCTTCACCCTCTATGCCGTCTTCTGCAGGCCATCTGGCGGCCATGCCAAAGTCGGCAATCTTCAGGACACCCTCGAAGGTGATGAGGATGTTCGCCGGCTTGAGATCAAGATGGATGAAGCCGGAGTCATGAATGTGCTTCAGACCCTGCTGGAGGTTAGCCCTTGCCCACTATTCTAATTTTCAACAGGAAACATAGACAGGTTGACATACCAAGGACAATTCTAACAATATCTTCCAGATCCGGAAATCATCCAATCTCGCCTTGAGGCCAACCTGGGCAAGGAACACATCCAGGCTGCCTTCCTCGCAAAATTCCGTCTGGATGTACAGATGAGCGCTGTCTTCCCAACTGTCGACGAACGAAATCACGTGGTCCGAGTTGGTGAGGGCTTTCAGTACATCCACCTCACGGATGCGGCGTTCACGGTCTTTCAGGCCGGCATACGGCTGTTTTGATTTCTTGACGGCCCACACCCGTGCAGGCAGAGAGTCGGGAGACTTGGCCCCATTCGGGAGAGAAAATATGGACGATAGTGACATTTCATGAGCCTGAGCCACGCGATAGACCTGGGAAAATTCGCCGGTTCCCACAAGCTCCACATGTTCAAAGCGAGAGCTCAAGCTTGGGTCAACATCCGGGGCGTGGTATCCGCTCAATGATAGGCTAGGTCGCTTCCCCGATTGCATGAAAGAATCACGTGGGCCGGTGGGTGTTGCTGGCAAGTTCGAGGAGTTGAAGTCCGGTTGGAGAGGGTGTTGGTCGTTGTGTGCGGAAATGGACAGGCCGCTGGGATCTGGAGGGAAGAGGTGATCCTGAGGTGTGCGAGGAGAACCCCGCTGGAACCTGTCATGCAAAGGACTTGAGTTGTTTCCGAGTGCTTCGGATAGTCGTTCCAAGGATGCAATCTGCTGCGTGGCAGGCGGATAGGTTCGAGAGGGGAAGAAAGTTTGCTTCGTTGGAGTCGGCGGAAGATCGTATTCGCTCAATGGCTGACTGTCCGGCTGAGCGCAAGGTGACTGAGACTGGGTCAGCTCATCGCCGTCCACGCTCACGAAGCTGCCTCGACGCGAGAGGTCTGGCTTGTTAAATGAGTTCCCAAAGATTCCCATGCCCCGTGCGAAAGGTCCCGACGTGGGACGCGCGCTGGGGGGATTGGACGGGGAGGGAGATGGCACGACATCTGCTTGTGGCATCAATCGAGGGCGTTCCCACTCGGACATCGGCTTCTGCCCTGTGGGGAACAGATTGATGGGTCGCTTGCAAGGCGTATCAGGCATGTTCTTGTTGAAACCGAGCATGTTCTGGTGATCTTCTGCATTACGATTCTTCTTCGAGATTAGACCCGTTGACATGAATGCGGCCGGCAGAGGCTTGACCAGCTTGTAATTCTCCGGTGTCGCAAACGAGTCGACGGATGATGTCGAGTCCTCACGATTTAGGTGTCGTACGGCACCAGGTCGTGTCGCACCCGCAGGAAGAGATTTGGAGAAATCGAAGACGCCGCGCGGCCGCTCGGACTTATGCATGGGCTCATGAGTAGGCGAATCGTCTGCCAAACTTGAATTGGACGAGGACTGTGTAATAGTTCTGGAAAGAGGATGCGCTGCAGGACGCACCTGTCCTGCACCCCCGGCGCCATGTGATGAGAAGAGAGGGCTGACTGGTGCAGGTCGCGGAGAAAAGAGACCCTCGCGACTCGGCTGGAAGAGGTTACCGTCCAGAGACATGCGCGGACGGACGGTCATGGGAGAACCTGGATCCGTCGTCTCGGCTGTTTCGCCAATATTCCTGGGTCGGGAGAAAAGGGAGCGGTCGGTTTGGCGTTGCTGCAGTGTCGAGCGACGGAGAGATGATGAACGTTTGGGAATGGTGTTGAACGGGCTCCCGAAAGGCGGAACAGGTGAAGGAAAAGATGGCGTATCAGTGACAACTGGAGTTTCTGCAGCAAAATCTTCAACAGTGCTGGGGGGAGGGCCCTCGTTGTTGAAGATACTGAATTCGCCTGGGTAGTTGGCGGCGTGGACACTTCGCCTCTTGGCCGAGGGACTGCCTCGTGATGCTCGGTCGAGGTTCATAATCCCGTCACTACGTTTTAATGGGCTGACGGTAGCAAATGAACCGAAAGTCCCACTGCGTCGTTTCTCGATCCGAGACAGTGTCGGCCGCGGTGCAGGCGTGTTTTCTGCGCAAGTCGAAGCCTCGTTCAAGCCCGTGCCTTCAGAGACATTGTCATTAGACTCTACGTCAAGCGCTGGAGCCGCAGGTGTGTTCTCCGCGCCGACTGGCGATAATGCCATGATTGGAGCCGGCTGCGCGGGCTTGGCATTCCCTTGGTCTGTCGAGATGTTGAGGGCGCGCTTGACGGGACTTCGCGGTGATGTTCGCGCCCGTCGCATGACAGGCCTTGTGATTTTGGCGCTGGGTGGGTACGGAAGCGCGAACGGAGATGGATGGGATGTACTGGGGAAGAGTACAAAGTTGTTCTGTGTGGATCGTCGCGATGGTGAGAGAGGGGACGAGATAAATGGCGTGCTTTTCGATGGCGAGTGACTTCGAGACGCGAGAATTGTGAAATTGGAGCTCTTCGAAGGTGATCGCGATAATGACCGGCGCAACTGTCTGATTGCGGAGCTTGCATCAACGTGATGGATTCCTGAGTGTGAGGGCAAGTGCAGTGTGCCGCCCGCATCGCGATGCGGTGAGAATGTTGCTACCATATTGGAAATTATCGGCAACAATTGTGGTCGTGCTTAATTGATAGCGTAGGTTGCTGTAAAGGAGGAAAGACGATATACGCTTAGAATAGTTGTGATGGTGATGATGCCGCAATGAAAGGAGCAATCACCACAAAGGCTGAAACCAGACCGCGACTGGCGTTCACAATAACAAAGCAATGGGGAGGGGAGAGCGCCGGTGGCGGTGCTGTTGTCCTCGCGTCTGACTTGAAGAAGGCGAGGCGAGTCGACAGCAGCGGAATGCTGTGAGACTTGGGGGCGAAGCAAACAACAGCTATTGTTTCAAAGCGGGACAAACAGTATCAACAATGCGAAACAACTGACGGGTGGCACTTCACCGACTCATGGCGAGCACCAAGTTCTGAAAGTCCTTGGCAATCTCCCATCCAACTCCAAGGGAAGTGTGCCAGTAGGGGAACCAAAAAGGCACGGA